GAAGAGGAAGAGGTAGAGGTAGAGGTAGAGGTAGAGGAAGAGGAGGAGGATAGTAAATGGAGGAGCTCGGAAGTGTGGGAGGCAAATGGGAATAGAGGCGAGGAAGAAGTGAGAAAAGGCAGGATGAGCAGGGGGCCAAGGTGAATGCAGAGGAGAGTAGAGGAGAGGGAGGGGAGGAGAATCAAGGGAGGAGGAATAGAGATGAGCGGAGACGAAGCGAGCAGGAGGAGGAGGAGGAGGAGGAGGAGGAGGAGGAGGAGGAGGAGGAGGAGGAGAGACTGGTGCAACGCAGTTAAGGACAGTGAACGGGGGGGGGGGAGCAGAGGGGGAGCAAGAGCACGGACGAGGGTGTTAGAGGACATGGAGGAGAGGAGGAGGAGAAGGAAGGATGGGGAAATTACCGTCTCCTCAAGGAGGAGGGAGAGCTGGTATGCGAGCTCGTTGTTCTGCGCTCATCCGTTAGTGCGGGAGGAGGCGCTCGAGAGTTTTCCTACTTGATTCTCTCCGCTCCTCAGCATGGCAGCCTGCTCCTCCGTTAGTCACCCCTGAAGCGTCCTTGTCCTTGTCCTCGTCCTCTCCTCCTCGTCCTCGTCCTCGCCCTCGCCCTCGTCCTCGCCCTCGCCCTCGTCCTCGTCCTCGCCCTCGTCCTCGCCCTCGCCCTCGCCCTCGTCCTCGCCCTCGTCCTCGTCCTCGCCCTCGCCCTCGTCCTCGTCCTCGCCCTCGTCCTCGCCCTCGCCCTCGTCCTCGTCCTCGCCCTCGTCCTGATCTCGCCCTCGTCCTCGTCCTCTCGTCATCGTCATCGTCCTTATCTCGTCCTCGTCCTCGTCCTCTCCTCGTCCTCTTCTCCTCCTCTCACCTCTCGGATCATGTCTTCAGTGATTGCATTGGCTCGCTTCATAAGCTTCTCGAAGGCGATCTGAACTCATAAATCAGACCAGGAGAGTAGTAGGAGGCTCGTAGTAGTAGGAGGAGGAGTGCTGGTGTAGTAGTAGGAGTGCTGGTAGGAGGAGGAGGAGTGCTGGTAGTAGTAGGAGTGCTGGTAGTAGTAGGAGGAGTGCTGGTAGTAGTGGTAGGAGTGATGGTAGTAGGAGTGCTGGTAGTAGTGGTAGGAGTGCTGGTAGTAGGAGTGCTGGTAGTAGTGGTAGGAGTGCTGGTAGTAGGAGTGCTGGTAGTAGGAGTAGGAGGCTCTTAGTAGGAGGAGGAGTGCTGGTAGTAGTAGTAGGAGGAGGAGTGGGAGCAGGAGCAAAGAGCGAGGAGGAAGGGAGAGGATAGGGGTAGTGGAGGGAACAACTTGGAAAGGTGCGGTGGGGAGGGTAGGAGAGGAGGAGAAGGATGGGAAGGAGAACTTGGGGCGGGACCAGAGAGTTTACCTTCGTGTAAAGTTCTGCCCCAAGGACGGTACTGTCTTGCGCAGCGAGGAATCTTACCGAAGCCTGAGAGGAAAATGAGAGGAAAGTGAAGGAGAGGAGGGGAGGGGAGGGGAGGGGAGAGGAGAGGAGGGGAGGGGAGGAGGAGTAGAGGAAGGAAGGCGAGGAGAGGAGAGGGAGGGAGGAGAGGAGAGGAGAGGAGAGGAGAGGAGAGGGAGGGAGGGAGGGGAGGG